CCCACACGGCCAGAGTGCTCCTGCTGTGACCTCTGGGACAGCCTGGGCTGCGGGCAGCGCAGCAGGGTGTCTGGAGGAGGTGCCTCCATCAGGGCCCCAGGCCCCAGGCCCCAGGCCAGAGCGGAAGGCCAGCGGGCCAGCGGCATCCCCGCTGGGGAGCAGCCGAGCCAGCCTGACCGCTGTCGACACAGGTGCCTCCTGCAAGGCCGACATCAAGCCCTTTTCCGAGTTCTTCCTCTTCCTGCAGAGGGGCCCGGCTGGGGCCGAGGTCTACTCGCCACCGTGCCTCTCGGCCCAGAGCTCTTGTGGGAACTGCTGAGGGGACTGCAGGTGGCACCCAGGAGTGAAGTGTCCAGGCCAGACTGCTCCCCAGAGGCCCCCCTGCCCTCCCGTCTCCAAGGCCCTCGCCCCGCCTGGGCCAGGACCCATCTGGCACCCAGATGGGGAACTGACAGCCTTCAGAAGCTACCCAGTCTCAGGGGAGGAGGAGAGGGTGTGGGCGCCGAGCTGGGCCCTGATTCCAGCCCAGCCCACTGGGTCCCAGGCACAGAAGCCACGGCGGGGGGTGGAGGGAGGGCAGTGGTCCGTGAGCCGTCTGTGTGGGAAGGGTGGCTGAGAGGCTGACAGGGAGGGTAGACAGAAATCCCAGCTCCAGGCCAGGCTTGGGGTCACACCTGGGCCCGGGCAGACTTGCAGGTGTCCTCTGAGCAGCCCGGCCGCCAAGCCTGGCCAAGGCCACAGGGCTGGTGAGAGCACAGTAATGCCGACCACATTCGGGTGGCCCCGGGGCAGACAGAACCACAGAGGCGGCCAGCACAGCGCAGCCCTCCAGGTGCAGCAGAGGTATGGGGCAGCCAGAGGGGAGCCCAGGACGTGGCCGGGTTCTCGCCTTCAACACCCGCCTCCCCGGGAGGGAAAGAAACGGGAGCCTGCCGAGGATGTGAAACCACCGCGGGGAAGAACTGGAGAGAAAAGGGAAGGAGAGGTGCCACCCTGCCCCCCCCCGCTGCCCCCCCAGAGCCAAAGACAGGCCACTGGTCCTACCTTCCTGAGCCCTGAGTTTGAGACCAAAGACATTAGTTACAGGCCCCACCCCAAACACAAATAGCCATTAGCCTACGGGAGAGGGACTCTGCCCAGCCCCCACTCCCCCACAGTGACTCAACCTGTTCGCCCTGAACCTGCCTCCACCTCACAGAGGCCGTTGAGGCTGGGAGACGCTCTGGCTTCTATACCCCCACCCCCGGAGGGCAGCTCCCCTCTCCCCTGACCCCCTGCAACGGGCCCCCAGCTTTCCTGGCACTAGTCCAAGGCAGCTCAATGGGGAAGACAAGCTCATTCCCAGGCCAGGAGGCCAGGGGCCTGGTGCTACAGCAAGAAGGACTGAGGCAGGACATGAGTAAGAACCTCCTGCACACAGGAGGACAGCCCTGGTGGTGGAGGGCCTGGTCCCTCGGCCCCCCCTCGTCAGGGCACCCCCTGCCACACCTACGTCCCTGGAGGCCACTGGCTGGGGCCCCAGGATCGGGCACGTGGTAGGGAACAGGGTCCCTTGATGCCTCTAGAATGGCCTAGGTCCTGGAACAGCTCCTGGGGGAGGGGGGCCTGTGCCATACGGACCCTCGCCAGGCTGCCAGCCCACCCCGGTGCCTTCCAACCCCATCTCTTCTGCTCCACTGGCCTGGGCCGGGGCCAGGCCCCTGGGCTTCCTGCACTCGGCCCAGCTTTTTGCTCTGACTCTCCCAAGGGAGCCCTACCGGGCCACCGGGACCCAGGGAGCCCACCCGGCAGAGCCTCATTAACGGTCTCAGTGCCCTTGGCTGTGGTACCGGCGGAGAGGCCCCAAATCCAAGTGGGGCCGAACGAGGGCGAGAGCTGGGCAGCCAGGGCAGCTTGGAGGGAGGCCGTGCACGTTGGCTGCCAGCCGGCGGGTCGGTCAGGGGCAGGCGGGTGGCCTGAGCTTTGGTGCCCGCAGGAGACCCCAGTGCCCCACCCCGAGCAGCCTTAGTCACACCTGTACTGCTCCCTGTCATATCTGGGAAGCACAGGGTGTGAGTAAATGCCAACAGGTCTGGCCCTGAGCCCAGCTCCAGGCCACAGTTCCCGGGCTTCTGGGGATGAAGGGGGTCCTCCCACTGGACCCTTGGCTGGGATCCAGGGCTCCTTCTGCCCCCCAGTCTCCCCCAGGCTGGCTCCACAGGCCTACTGGGGCCAACCTTGGGCTTTCTCCAACCCGAGGGTGACGCATCCCCTCCTACCCCGCCCGGCCTCCGACCGGTCTGAGCAGCCTCTGAAGGGCCTGGGTGGGGGGAAGGGGGGAGCTGCCCAGACTCGCCGCCTCTTCCTCCTGAGGCCCTCGCCCCATGGCCCCGGAAGTGGGTCCTTCTCTCCCAGGCCGCAGCCTCCCCCCTTGGGTGGCTGGACGCGGCTGGATAATCCAAAATAATTCCTTCTTGGCAGGCGGCCGGTGGGGGAGGGTGACTCGAATTCCAAACCCTGTTTTTCTCAGTAACTTCTCTCCCCTTCTGGGGCGAGGAACCCCTGGTCAGACCTCAGGCACCCCCCCACCCCACCCCCGTCCTCGGACTGGGCCCCCAGTAAGTATGGTGGGAGGGGATGGGAAGCTCAGATCGGCTGAGCCCACCTGCTTGTGCTCAGTCTTCTCTGGGAATTCCTCAAAGCTGTCATGCCACAAAAATACCCAGCAGGCCGGGCCTGGCCCCTGCTGACCTTACCCTTCCGGGACCGTCCCACCCTCTGTCCAACTCTCAGACCTTCCGAAAGCTCCTCCTCCAAACTGGGGTAACATCTGGGCACAGGGGTGGGCTGAGACCCCTACCACCTCTAGGAGTGCAGGGGCTGAAGTTAGACAGGAGAGGGGGCCTCCCCAGAGAGCCCCTCAAGCCCCAGAACATTCCACCAGCTTCCAGACCCAGCCTCACCCTCAGTCCTGAACCCCACCAGGAGCCATGGTGGGCCCAGAGGGACCCCTTCACCCCTTTTCCAAGTTGCTGGGAAGAGGAGCCCTCCGGCAGGAAGCTCTGGAGCTCTTGAGGCAAGGGACCCCCCAAACCGGCCACAGCCTGAGCACAGAGGGTGGAAAGGGCCTGCCTCCGAGACCTTCCTTCCAGAGGCAAACAGAGGCCCAGGGCCCAAGCACTGCCCAGTTCTTCCCCGGTCGCAGCGTGTCCACCCACGCACCACACCAACAGAGCACAACAGGAACTGTCCAACCAGGCCCTGGGAAGAAGCAGGCCCAGGGCCGGGGCTCCCCTGGTCCCAACCCAGAGCCTTGCACCACTTTCCAGCCTGGACAGGCCCAGCCCAAGCCCTCCTCACAGAAAGTCCCGGGGAGCGTGGGGGCTGCCCGGACTGCCGTCAGGTCCAGCCCCTGGGAAGAGCCGGGCTTGGCCACCCCGAAACCGCGGCGGGACAAGTGCGTGAGCTCGGGCACAACAGGGCGACCTCTGCCCTGGGCCAGGATCTCGGATCTCGGCGGCTGGAGAGGGGGGCCTGGGCGGGGAGGGAGCCTGGGGAATCAGAGCGGGAGCAAGACGCTCTAGAGAGACACAGGCCGCAGGAGGGGTCCCTGGGGACCCTCGGCTGAGCCAGACCCGCTCCCCCCGGCACCGCAGCCCTCGCCCTGGAAGACAGTGGGTCGGGAGCGGCCAGTCCCAGCCGATCAGGCACATGGACGCGGCCAAGGCCCGAGTTACCCTCGGCAGAGTAGCAGCTGCCCCGCGTCCCCGCGCCCCGAGCGCAGCAGGCCGGGCGGAGCAGCGCTAATGGCGAAGCCCCCAGACCAGCGCGTCCGCCCCGCGGGCCCTGAACCGGGATCGCAGTACCTGCACGTCCTCCGCCAAGGCTCGATGGCGCCCGAGCGGCGATCCGCGCTGCGCTCCGGCCCGCGCGGCTGCCATGGAGACGGGCCTTTGTGTGGCCGAGGAGGGGCCGGAGCGCGCGGGAGCAGCGGCCCCGCCCCCAACGGGGGCGGGCGGGGCGAGGGCTGGAGAATGAGGGGCGGGCTGGTTGCTCCCCGCGCTCCCCTCGCGCCCCAGACCCCAGTGGGGCGTCCCAGCACCGGGCAGGTTCGGGCCTGTTCGGGCCCAGGTTCGCGTAAAGCAGCGAGCGCCCGTCGGCCTGCCCCACACGCCGGGCGCGCCCCGGGTCACAGGGGAGCCCAGGCCTCGGCGCTGCGAGAGCGCGCCGGGCCAGAGCGGGGACCCGGTGCCCCCGCGGTTCTCTCGGAGCTCCCCAACCCTCCGCCCAGGAGCAGGCCAGCCACACCCCTGTCTTTCCCGGATGGAGGCTGCCGGGCCTTACTATTTCCGGGAGTCTCAGCACCCCAAGCTCCTAGGGAAGGCAGCGCCTCTGAGTCTCCTGACAGAGGAACCTGTGGCTCCCAGCTGCCCGCCAGCTGCGGGCCTCCGGGGATGTCCTGGGACTCACCAGCGGGTCTTTCAGTGCCTGGAGGAAGGTGGTGAGCCCCGGGGCTGTCAGCTCTGTACTGCAGCTGGCCCTGCTTCTGGCCTGGGGTCTTCTGGACTGGAGAAGAGGTGGGGACCCTGCGTGCTCCTGCTGGCTCCTCACTGGCCTCAGGACAGGACAGGTGGCAGCAGCTGGGGACCCGGGGAACACCGGCACCATTCCCCAAACCCTAACTCGCACCCCACACTGGACACTCTCTCCCCTCCTTGGGGACCTGCCCTCCACCCAGACTTGTCCCCTTTGCAGACAGTCCACTTCCTTCCGTCTCCTCCCCACCCTCAGGCGTGTGTCTCCTCCCTGTGTGCTCCCCACCCCGGACCTGCCCCCAGAGGAAGCATTTAGGGAAGGGGGCAGCTGTGCTCCGGCCCCAGCGGCCGGCCAGCCAGACCTGCCTGCCTTCAGCCCTGAACCGCATCCACACCAGCCCACCCAGCACCCACCACAAGGCACCCCAACATTTCCAGTATCTGACAGGAATGCCAACTTTTTATCAAAAAAGGTTAAGACAAGCATTGTGGTCACAGGACATTTTAATACCAAACATGTGGGAAGGCCAGTATCCCAGACTAAAGGAATCTTTAAATAGAGTGCAGGAAGCTTGGGGGTGAACTGTCCTTCCTGTCCCCAGGGCGATCGGCTGCATCTCTGCCCCACCCCCTCCCAGGCCGTCCAGCCTCAGGAGGCCACCGGGGACCCACCAGCACTGTACTCCGAGGGGCCACCTGGCTTCTGCCCGTCCAGGCCCTTCTGTCCTGGGGGCTCTGCTGAGGGCAGGTTTGCTTCTTCCGACCCAGCTACCCCTTCCTCTCTCCCCTTAGTAGCCTCTCCCTGCACAGTGGGTTATAGTGAGGGGCCCAGGCCCAGGCCCAGGACTGGCCCCGACTCCAGCCAGTGGAACTAGGTTTGGGGTTAGAGGTTAGAGTGTAGGACTAGCTGAGCGAGGGTAGCTGATGGTAGTGCCTCATGGTCCCCTCGGCCTTTTCTTGTGGGTTGGAGAGTCCGACAGCCGTGAGGACAGCCCTGGTGTCCTTGCAGACTGAGCGGGGACTGCGTCCACTGTGGGAAGGCTGCCCCTCCAGACCCCGGGGGCAGGCCCCTCCTAGCGGCGTTCAGGGCCGGCACTGAACCGCTCTCACCCTGGGGCCTCCCGCTTGTTCCTTCTGCAAAAATGGGTTCCCTGCCTCTGCTGTGCTCTGCGGAGTGGGGGCGAGCCAGGCAAGGGGGCAGGGGATGCTTTGAGACCATCACCCCGCCACCCCAGGGCCTGGACGGGGTGGGACTTCAGAAGCGATGGAACCCCCACTCGGCCGTGCCTGCTCACTCCGCGAGCACCCGCTCCAGCAGGAAGCCGAGCGCGCCCCTCTCGTGAGGGGTCTGAGGGTGAGGGGCTGGGAGGCGGACCTGGAGGCCCACAGCTCTGAGCCTGTGCCTCACACCCACCTCCCACTGGCCACCGCTGCTGCCACTCGGTTCTGAGTCCTGACTGTGCTGCGGCAGCGCTGGGCCTGGCTGGGGAGTGAGCCACCTTCCGAGCTCAGCGAGGGAGGCTGCCGCGCTGTGGAGGGCCCTGGCTTGGGGGGGGGGGGGGGCAGAGCTGGCTGAAGTGCCACGGGCGGTAGAGGGAACAGTTCCTCGGTGGGGTGCTCCAGGGACATGACTGGGACAATGCCCCCGAGGGTGGGGGACCCTGCGGCCGGGCCCCACACTGCCCCCTGGTGGCCTCCCCAGGAAACACGCGGCCGAGCTCCTCACCCTCCCAAGCCCAGACTGCCAGCGAATACCCCCAGCTGCAGGCGAGCGGTGGGTGGGCTGTGTGGGGAGCGCAGGCTGCTGGTCAGCTGCCTCTCCCTCTCCTGAGCTGGGCAGCCTGATGGGGCTCAAGGACACATCAAATGCAACGTCTGGGGACCTGCTGGGCTTGGGCAGATGGGTGCCTGGAGGGGGTGGTGGCCCCAGGCCCAGAACAGCAAGGGCTCACAGCCAGCCCCGCCCCCCCAGCCTGCAGCCCTGCAGAGGGCAGGTGGGGCTCAGGGGGAGGTGAGGCTCTGGCCAACCGCAGATTCGCCATCAGTCAGGGGCTAGGCTGTGGTTCCAAATGCCACCTTTACTGCTGGGACAAAGTGGTGTGGGGCAGGGGGCCAAGGCCAGGGAGCGGCAGGGAGTCCGGGTGGGGAGCTCATGCTTGACGGGGGCCGCCCCACCCCTCGGTGGGCCAGTCCCAGGCCCCAGGGGCACAGAGGCCCCTTCAGCCATCCTAGGGTGGACACAGGACGGCCTGCAGGTCCCTGGGCAGGGAGCTGATGACGGTCTCGAGGTGCAGCCGGGCCTGCTGCAGCGTCTCCTCCTTCACGGGGAGCTGGTGGCCCCGTGCCCGAACCTGCAGGGGCAGTGCCAGTCAGGGGCAGGTGGCCTCTGTGCGCCCCCCCCCCACCAGGCCAGGCAGGGCGGGAGCCTCTCACCAGCTTCTCCCGCAGCTTCAGGACCAGGTCCACGACCTCCACCTCGGACTTGCCCTGCATCCAGGTCTCAACGTTCTGCCGTGAAAAGATGGGGCACCCATCACCAGGGCCCCGCAGCCCCAGTCCCCTCGGCCGTGGCCCTCCTTACCGCCTCACAAATGGCCTCCAGGTGCAGGGCCTCCAGTTTACGGGCCATCTCTTTGCGCCGCTGCCGGTACCAGCCATCAAAGTGGGGGGACTTGAAAAACCGCCTGGGGGTGATGAGAGACAGTGGCTGTGGGTGGGGCTGCCTCCGGGTGCCACTGTGTGGGCGTGGGCACCCCACACCCACACCGGCAGGAGACTGACCGTCCCCACTGGTGTCCACCCACCTGTAGAGGCCCAGCCAGTCACCCTTGAGGATGCAGGTGAGCTGAGGCCCAGCGTGCTCCAGGCTGCACAGGAAGTCGTCCTGGTGGAAGGGGCGGATCTGGGGAGGAGTCTGAGACAGCGGCCCAGTGAGCCCTGGTACCCAGGCAGGTGCAGCCTCACAGACCCTGTGTGTGCCTGGGCTGGTCAGGGCCATCCCCCAGGACACCTCCCAGGCACGCTCTTGGACCACCACCCTGCTGGAGACAGGTCCCAGAGGGGAGGGCCTCGAGCCCCTCATTGCTGCCCCACTCCTCTGCCCCGTAAGGGAGGTCTGATCAGTGTGGGGCTAGCCTGGAAACCAGTCTTCCCTCCCAGACCTTCCCTCCTCTAGAACTGGGACGGTAGCCCACCCTCCTGGCCCCTCCCCCACTGCCACCAGGACGTGGATACCCACCTTCCAGGGCGTGATGCTCTTCTGCAGGGGCATGAGGCTGGCCATGTAGTGCTCCTGGAGTGGGGAGGGGAGTGAGCCCGGGGCCTCAGCCCAGGGGTCTCAGCCCCAGCGGCCCCGCCCCCACCCTGGGCCTCACCAGTGGAATGATAAAGCTCTGCGTGAGCTCCAGGAGGTGCCGCCTCAGCAGGGCGGTCAGCACCCCTGCCGGTCGCTTCTTCTGCAGGCCCTTGAGCAGCCGCTTGAGCAGGGCCTTGTCACGGCGTAGGTGCGCGGTATACTCGGTGTACAGGCCTGGTGGGAGGGCGGGGCTGCGGTCCTTAGGGGGCCCCTCCCACACCACCGCAGCCGCCCCCTTCACTACTCTCCATATAGAATCCTGGCCCCCCAGCCCCCAGGATGCAGAGCCCATGCCTGGGTCCCCGAGAGGCACACACCTGGCTTGGTGTCCAGGGTCTTAAGCCTCGAGGGCTTTTTCAGTTTGACCTGTTTAGGAAGACCCCCTACAAAACAGGAAACACAGGGGCCACCTGGCTTCCGACCCCTGGGGGCCAGGCCTCAGTGCCCGCAGGCTAGGCCCGCGGGCCTCCCCAGAGCGGTGGAGCCGGGGCCAGGCCGGCCTCACCTGACATCTTGGGCTCCCCAACTCGGAGGATGTGGGGCCAGTGCTGCAGCGTTTTGATGAAGAAAGGGTTTGTGACTCCCAGGACCACGTTGGGTCTAGAAAGAGGAGAGAGAGGAGAGGCAGTGGCGGCTCCATGGGGCAGGGGCAGCCGGTGGGGGCGGGGCAGAGAGGACGCGGCACCTACGGGGCCTGCGTGCGCGTGGTGAACTCCTTGAACTCGCTGTCGTGGATGGTAAAGTAGGGGCGATAGTCGCAGCAGAACCTGAGGGGCTGCAGGCAGCTGTGGGGGTGGGAGAAGCAGGCCAGTGAGCTCAACAGGGCGGCCCCCTGCCCCTCATAACACTCCTCCCACCGCGGGGCCTACCTGGTCAAGGCCAGCACCATCTCCGAGGACACGGCCGGCGAGGGCGCCAGCACCACCAGGGGCTCCCCGAGGAGCATGAGCTCCCACAGCGTCTGCACGTGGGTGAGCACAGGCTGCAAGCACCTGGGCCGGGCAGGGGAGGTTGGGGAGCTCAGGGAGGCTGGGCAGGGCAGAGGCTCCCCCCCAAGGCTCGGGAGAATGCGCCACCCCAGTGGGAACAGGGCTTGGAGATGCGGAGTGTGCACAGGGTCAGCCGACAGGCCGCCCGCCCCTGTGGCCTGGCCCTGCGCTCCAGCCTGAGCCGGCTGCCCTGGCTTCCTCGAGGCCCAGCCAGGTCTCCGAGCCTGGCTCCCTCAAAGGCTCGCCCAGGGAGGGGCAGCCTCAGGCAGTGAGTGCCTCCCCACACAGCCCTCCCCTCCCCACGCCCGTCTGCTGACACCCCACCCCAACTTCACCCATTTCCTCTCAGCACAGACACCAGGCCCTGGGTTCCTCTTCTGGACTTCCATGTGACAGAACTGGCCCGGGGTGAGTTCCTGGTAGGTGGTGTCCCCGGGGCCCAAACCCTGCCCAGGCCTGAGCCTTGTGGGCTCGCTCAGGGTCTACTCAGGCAGCAAGCTGACGGGGCCCACCTGAACAGGTCCAGCTCGTGGACACTGGTGAGGACCAGTGGCGCCGGCAGCAGGCTCTGCAAGGGGGGGCGGCGTCAGGCTGAGGGCCAGGCTGCCACTCTACAAGCCCCAAGCAACACCCCTCACCCCAGGAGAGCCCTAGGCACAGCAGCCCCTGCCCCAGGCTCCCCGGCCCCTCCCCCACAGCACGGGGGGGCCATTCCCAGTCCTGCACTCAGACACAAGCCCCCGGCTCTGGCTGGTATCTGGCCACCCCATAGGGCCCCCAGCTGGTGGGTGGGGAGGCCCCACCTCTTGGCCACACCGCTTCAGAGGACTGGACTCCGGCCTGTCTGTCCTGGACGGGATGTGCACCTGCGGAAGGAGGGAGCCGCTGCCGGTCACGAGTGGGCACCGCCGTGCCCTTGGGGCCTCCTGCCCTGGCTGGCCAACCCTCACCTGCAGGACGACTCCCACGACAGGGAGGTTCAGGGTCTGCCCGGGCACGGGGGCCGGCCACTGGTCGATCTCGTTACACACTGTGGGCGCAGGCGGTCGGCGTCAGCAGCCTGCAGCCACGGCCGCTGGGCTCCACGGCCGCTGACCGGGCCTCTGGGCGCACTCACCTGCTTCCAGGCAGGGGGCCAGCTTGTCAAAGTACTCGGGGGCAACCAGGCTCAGCAGTGCCTGGAAGAGTCGGACGAAGGGCAGGCGGGACACCAGCACCAGAGACTGCAGGGCCCAGGGGGCCGGCGAGATGTCAGAAGCCCTCAGGAGTCTGCAGGGCCCCCGAAGGCCTGGCTCATCCAGAGTCCACCCAACTACATAGGACAACTGTGCCCAGGGTGGCCCCATGCAGACCTCAGGGCCCCAGACAGGAGGGGGCCCCAGCGACACCGGGCAGGGCTGGAACCCGGCTGTTAGAGGGAAATGCTCGTGGCCAGGATGTCTGGGACAACCTCCCAGTGATGAAGCAGCTTTTGCTTTGAGTGTCTGAGTGCAAGGCTGAAGTTGTCTAATCCTGAAAGAGTGACCAGGCCCCTCTGGCCAGCAGCGAGAAGCAGGGGTGTCTGGGGCCCGAGACACAAAGGCCACGGTGCTGTGCTGGGCCAGGCAGGGGCACGGGACCCGCACCCCAGAGGGGCTGCAGCCAGAGCTGAGTACTGGGGCAGCCCTAGCACCTGCCCGCTGCCCAGGTCAGGTGGCCCACGTGGCCGAGGGGAATGTGCTCCCCCTGGTACCACGTGGCTGCAGGAGGGGTGCTCCTGGAGGCTCAGGACCCCAGCCCCTCAGCCCCTCCATGGCCACTAGCCCCTCCTCTCACAGGTGCCACCCCAGAGGGGCCAGGTGGCTCACCTTCTGGAAGTAGCCCCTCTTCATGGAGCTGTCCTTCACCTGCCGGAAGTACACATAGCCGAAGTAGTGCGCCGACTCCCTCTGGAAGAAGCGGTCAGCCAGGCGGCACCCACTCTCCCCGTGCCACTCCCCCGCCACCACCTGCCAGCCTGCCCGCTCTGCAGAGGCGGCTCCACCCACCGGGTTGTGGGGCTGGGTGCTCAAGCCCGGGTGTCCCGGGCTCAGAAAGTGGGCATCACTTCTCCAGGGAGCACCTCCACAGGCCCCTGCACACCAAGCCACACCCTGCTGTCTGCGTGGTGCACAGGAAGAGCGCCAGGGACCCTGGGGGGTCCCCAGAAGAGCCGGCCCACCCCTATGGAGGCTGGGGCTGGCCAGCCATGCGGGGCCCAGGCACCCGGAAAGGACCGCCACACCAGCCCGTCCCCAGTCTGTGGGCAGAGGCCGCAGACCGCCGGAGAGGCAGCCCATGCTCACCTGCAGTGTCACAGGGGCTTCACTGTCGTAGCGCCCCCCGTCGTCAGTGGGCCAGGAGCTCCTCTGCCCTCCACACTGACGGATTCGGAAGCTGAACTGCGTGTCCCCGAGGCAGCCTGGGAAGGGAGGCAGCCCCCGCCACACCACGTCAGGGCTACGGAGGCCCCAGAGAGAAGCCTGGCGCTTGGCCTCGCCCTCCCAGTGGGAGTCCCTCTGTCCTCACTCCTGCACCTAAGAAGTTCAGAGTGAAGTCCGGACCCAGACACACCAGCAGCTGCCCACCATCCAAGCTCAGGTGGGCAGCTGGGGGACCGTGGTGTGGCGGCCTGAGCCTGCCTAGAACCTGGGGCCCTGGGAGGAGCAGAGACAGCTCCAGGGGGGCCACAGTGGCGGGATCAAGGAGGCCAGACCCTGCCGGTCCCTCTTTCCACACCAACAAGGGGAACCTGGCTGCCTCTGCTGCATCATGGGGCTCTGGGTGTCTCCACAGAGCGGGGGAGGGGGCCTGGGCCACAGGGGCTCCGGGACAGCCTCCCCTCCCCACCTTGTTCCTCTCCCCACCCCCACACCCCCAACCCTGGCCCCAGAGTGGGGAGAGTTGGAGCACCCTACCGGAGTGGGAGTCAGGAAAGGACAGGTAGCAGATGCTGCTTTTCTGAAACACACGACACCCAGTGAGCGCTGGCTTCCTCCTTCCACCTGGGCGACGTCTGTTCCCCGAGAGCGGGTGGGACCCACCTCCTTATCCGTGAGCCGGAAGTCACCAGGATACACCAGCTGTGGGGACACAGAGCACTCGGTGAGGCCAGGTGGCCGTGGGGCTGGGCTGCCGTTGTGTTCCTCTCCGCTCCCGCTCCCGCCCCTCTCGGAGCACACGTCACTGGGCAGACCCTGCTGCCCTCCCCCACCTTTGGCGCCCCAGGCTCCCCCAACCTCCCAAGGCCCCTCCCAGCTCCAGGCTGCTCCAGACTCCCCTCGCCTTGGCCAGCACACACCTGGGGGAGCTCCCGGACTTCCTTTCTGCCCCCCTTGCCCTCGAGCCTGGGCTCCAGGACGGCCCTGGCCTGGGTGCAGAAACCCTGGGCCCCATTCCGGGAAGTGGCTGGGCGGGGAGCCTGTGTGGGTCGGGCGCCAAGGGCCAGCACCCCGAGCCCCCAGCTCCACGCATCTGCCCACGTTTTTGCGCCGAGGAGGAGTCGGGTTTTGGCTGAAACCCGGCTTCTTCCACGATGTGCCCTGGAACCCCCACTGTGGCAGTGACGTCACAGCTCATCCGTGTTTGCTCTGGGCTCACGCCGGGTGGTCCCCCTCAGCTCCCGTCCTGAGGACGGGCACTGTGCCCAGGGCACTCTTGTCCCCCAGCCCCTGGCAGGGAGCAGACATCCCCAAACGTGCACTTGAACAGGGTGACAGCGCATCCGTGAGGCATGACAGAAAGGGGCGTCGCATGGAAACCTCCAGGAGGTGTCGCCAAGGAGGAAGGGCCCCGAGGGAGGGGGCTGAGGATGCCACAGAGCCAGGCCTGGGGACAGCTCCATGAGTGGGAGGAGCCACAGGACAGGTCACCGTGTCTGTGTCCAGCAGGGCCTGGGAGATGCGGGGGCCTGGCGGGCAGCGAAGCTGCGCTGGACCCTCCGTGCTGAGGTAGGCAGTCAGAATCTGGTCTGACACTCCGGGGAAGCTGGCGGCCTCTGAGCAGGCCACCTGGACCTGCGGGCCCCATGTCCGTGCCAGGGACCCATTAGAACAAGGGTGGGGAACCCACATTCAGGGGCTGGTGTGTCCTGTCCTGGAAGCAGAGGCCCGAGGGGGCCTGGCCCAGCTGGACGGTGCCTCAGTGAGTGGAGAAATGGGTGGGCCCTCCGAGAGAGGTGGAGCCGGAGGCCGTGCCACAGGGTGACAGCGCCCAGCCCTGGCCCTGCTGAGCCGACCTGCACAGGGTGCTGCCCCTGCACCCAGTCGGCCCCGCGGAGGAGACAGACCATTGTGGGGCATGGGCTGCAGGAGCTGAGGTGGGGATCCAACTGCTTTCTATTTGGCCAGATGCCGAAAAGCTTGTAAAAGTGTCAACTGATGCTCACAAATTTTATTTTGCAAAATAGGGTTGTTTTCCTGAAAATATTAAATATTTATGTTAACACATGGGGTATCTGTTTCTTACAGTGGGTTAATAAATATTAAACGTTTTTGTTTTAATTGCTAGTAAACATGGGTTGATGGGACCTCACAAAGAGCTGTTTGGGGTCCTCAGTAACATGAAGGCTGTAGGGGCCGGAACCACATCAGCAGTGGTGGAAAGGGGGCCTTTGGGGCCTCGGGGCGCAGTTCACTCCACGGGCTTCCCAGACTGGCTGAGATCCTGAGAAGAGAGTTTCCGAGGGCAGAGATGGTGGAGCCGGGCCCTTCTCTCAGCCGACCCGCCTGCAGGCTTAGTGCAGCCGTCCGTACAGCACCCCGCACGTCGCTGGGCAGTCGGGGGCCCTGAGCCACTCACTCTGTGTCTCAGGGACAGAGTCTGAACTCCTGGAGAGCAGGGCATTGTCTTCTCATTTGCTCTGTGTTGTGTCCCTGTGTCCAGCACCAGGACCACAGGGCCTGGCTGGTGGCCACTGCTCAAACTTGACTCACAGAACAGGTGAACCGCAGCTCCTTGCCTTTGCTTTGGCTGTTTTTTTGTGGGCGGGGGTTACCTGAAATAGCTTGCTCTGCACAGCCCAGCTGCCTCTTTCCCATCTGCCAAGACTGGCCACACCTCATTCCTTCCACGGAGCTGCTGCTGTTCATGGAGCTTCTGGATGGCAGCCCCTGGGTCTCCCGTCCGTGTCCCATCACCACGCACAGTGCCAGGGCTGTTGCGGCGCTCAGCAAGGCCGAGCTGTGCACAAGTGAGCCCAGGGCAGGTGCTCCCTGAAAGGTGTGGGGTCAGGCGAAACGACCCTTGGTCTTCGGCAGGATTTCCGGGGGAGGGAGGAAAAACGAGGCAAATCTGGGGAGCACTGTGAGCCGCACTGCCCGATGGATCCGTGGCTGGGCCTCTGCACAGACAGGATGATTCCGAGGGGCGCTGGGTTCCCAACATCCCCTCCCTGGACTGTGCAGCCTCATCAACAGCTTGGAAGCCCAAGCACAGAGAGCCCATAGCTGTGAAGGCTACTTGCTTGGTTACAAGCAAGCTTTCCAGATGCTTACATTCTAGGAAATTACACATGAGAATGTCTCAAGGAAACACAAGAATCTCTTAATGTCTCTTGTGATTTAAAAAAAATATTCTTATTTTACTTTTTTACAGAGATTTTATTTATTTTTAGAGAAGGCAAGGAGGGACAGAGGGAGAGAAACATCAATGTTTAGTTGTCTCTCATGCACCCCCTACTGGGGACCTGGCCCCACAACCCAGGCATGTGCCACGACCAGGAATGAACCAGTGACCCTCTGGTTTGCAGACCGGTGCTCAACCCGCTGAGCAGCTCAGCCAGGGCCTTTCTCGTGATTTTGTGGAGAAAAGTATGGGCAACAGTATGAGCTCTGTGACACGGGGCAGCTCGGCTCAGCTCTCTGCTCAGGCCCCTTCATCAGGTGGGGCTGTCACAAAACTGCACGCTTAGTGGGGGTGGGGGTGGGGTGGGGGATGGGGTCTCCACAGGGCCAGGACCTGAGTCCTCATTAAGAGTCAGCCCCTTCTGTCTCAAAGACTGGACTTGTAGAGTTCAGCGAGGCCTTAAACCAAAACGACCCCCACCCCCAAGGGCCCCCCAGGATGGCTCTGCAGCCTCAGCTGGGCCAACTGCGGCCCCAGCGGGCCCTCCTCCGCAGTGCTCAGGACATCCCTGACAGTGTGGTGAGGTCTACGCCCCCACTTTCCGGGTGTAGAGACCATCCTGACAGCCCTGCGGAAGTCCTCCCTCCCTGAGCCCGCCACACTGTCATCTACACTGGGGGGGAGAGAAGCTGCCCCTGGGGGTGGGGGTGGGGGTGTGAGCACCCCAGACTCCCCAGCTGGGTGCACCTGGTGAAGAGAGTCGGCCGGTATGGCTGGAATGGCACCCACACAATCCATACTGGATCTGGGCCTAGGTGAACCAAGAGGTGCCGAAGGCTTCCAGCAGGATGGCCACAAAGGAGTGGTAGGCAGCGGAGGGAATTATCCGTGGCCGGGGGAACTGTCAGCCTTGTCCACCAACTAGAGGTGGAGTGGGGGCAGGGGGAAAGTCCAGGATGACCCCTCGGATTCTGGCTGCAGCAACGAAGGAGACGAGGTGCCACGACTAACGTGGGGAAGGGAGAAATGAGATAGATTTTCTTGATAAAGGTCAAGGGTATCCAAAGTGCAGGCCTACCTCCTCCATCCCAATGGGAAGTCTGACATTGGTCCCTTTGCTGTAAAGTGCCCCTTTCAGGAGGGGACAGGCGCAGGGTTCCGGGGGAGGGACAGGCCACCCAGGTGTCTCCTCGACTTCCCCCCACGCGCAGAGGGCGGACGGGCGGGCGCGCGACGACTCGCCCCCCTTCCCGGCTCACCTCCAGCGCCTGGCCCAGCTCCAGGTCGAAGGTGACCACGCACACACACTCCAGCCAGGCCGAGAAGCGCGCCCAGGGCGTTGACGCTGCCCGCGCGCCGGAGGACCGCACCCCGAGGCGGTCGCGAGGCCGGCGGGGCCCCGCGCTAGACAGTGAGTCCATGGTTGAGACCGCAGCGGCCGGCTGCGCGTTGCCCGGGGAACGGCCGGGAGGCGTTGCCGGGGAAACGGCTAGGAGGCGGCGACCTCCACGCACCTAAGGACCAAGCCACGGAGCAGTCGAGAGGCCATCGCGGACTAGAGCGGCCCTCCTGTGGTCCCGCCCGCCCCTCACGGCCGGAGAAGCGAAGTGCAGCGAAGAGGCGACAAGCCCACCAGCGAGAAGGGCCCGAGCGGCCCAGAGCGGCCCGGAGCGGGGAGGCTGGACGTCTGCCCTGGCCCGGTGGCATCCGGGAGTCGCGTCAGGCGGGGATCGGGGCCGCTATTGCGGATCCTGCTCGGCTGCTTCACAACTGGGTTCTAATGTTCTGGACTTCCCAGCCCACCAGTCTCCGCCGCATCTGCTCCCTGGGGTCGCCCAGGGGCGCCGGTCCTGCAGAGCGGGCACAGGCCTGGGTTCGCTGCTGCCCGCGAGTCGTCTTTGTCTCTCTTGGCCAGACCTGGGCCGCGCCCCCGAGTGTATCAGTGCGGGTCCGCTGCCTGGTTCGCGGTCCCCAGCGCCATCGCTGAAGCCAGCTGGGACGCAGCTGGGAAACACGCTGCGAGCAGCCTCTGCCGTTTCCGCGCCAGAGGAGCGTGGCCCCCACCGGTGCCACCACCTAGCAAATAAGGGCGAGTTTGGAGCTGAGACAGTAACTTAATTGACATGCCACATATTTTAGGTTTGGGTTTGTTTTTTTTTTTTTAATAAAAGCCCTCTCCGATTCCTCCCAGCCCCCTCCCTCTCCAACGTTAGGCGGGCAGGGCTAGGCTGCAGTGACAACCCCATTCGTGGCCGTGGGAGAGTCAGGTGCCTCTGCTTCACTAGCACAGGGCCTCCCGCGGTCACGGGCAGTGGGAGAGAGATAACGAGGCCTTCTGGCTGTTAATTTCCTTGGCCTACACATGTTGTATCCATCACTTCTACTTAGAGACCTTGGACCAAAACTAGTCACATGGTCCCAAACTAACTGCTAGGGAGCCTGGGAAATGAAGGACTTGGATTATTTGGGGAAACACAAAATTATTATACTTTATAGTGGCCATGTGTCACTGAACTTAAGGTACCATTATTTTATAAATCATCAAGGTAGAGAAACTGCTACCAGTTAAATAGCAATGAGCAATCAAGTGTTTTCAAAATAATCTATTATGAAATGTGCGAACATGCAAAAAAGATAAGCCAGACAGTAACCATCCGTTTACCTACTATCTAGAATCCACCTTAATAATCAACCCTTTGTTATATCAATTTTATATCTTATTTTTACATCAGTCCTATCCATCCATCAAATCATCTTATTTTTAAAATATATATATATTTCCTTTTTATTTTTATTGTTTTATTGATTATGCTGTTACAGTTGTTCTATTCCCCCTTCATTCCCCTCCACCCTGCACACCCCTCCCCCACCATTTCCCCCCCTTTAGTTTATGTCCACGAGTCTCAAGTTCTTTAGATTCTATATTTCCTATACTTTTCTTGGCCTCCCCCTATCTATTTTCTACCTACTGTCTGTGCTACTTATTTTCTGTACCTTCTCCCCCCTTCTCCTCCTCCCACTCCCCTGTTGCTAATCCTCCTTGAGATCTTCATTTCTAGGGTTCTGCTCTTGATCTAGCTGTCTGCTTAGTTTGCTTTTATTTTAGGTGTGGTTGTTAATTGTGAGTTGGCTGTCCTTTCACTGTTCATCTTTTTTACCTTCTTTTTCTTAGATAAGTCCCTTTAACATTTCATATAATAAGGGCTTGGTGAGGATGAACTCCTTGAATATGATCTTATCTGAGAAGCACTTTATCTGTCCTTCCATTCTAAATGAAAGCTTTGCTGGATAGAGCAATCTTGGTTGTAGGTCTTTGGATTTCATGACTTGGAATACTTCTTTCCGGCCAATTCTTGCCTGTAAGGTCTCTTTTGAGAAATCGGCTGACAGTCTGATGGGAACTCCTTTGTAGGTGACTGTCCCCTTATCTCTTGCTGCTTCTAGGATTCTCTCCTTCATTTTAATCTTGGCTAATGTAATGATGATGTGCCTTGGTGTGTTTTTTCTTGGGTCCAACTTCTTTGGGACTCTGTGCTTCCTGGATTTCCTGGAAGTCTATTACCTTTGCCAGATTGGGGAAGTTCCCTTTTATTATTTGTTCAAATAAGTTTTCCACTTGCTCTTCCTCTTCCCCTTCTGGTGCTCCTATAATTCGGATGTTGGAGCGTTTAAAGATGTCCTAGAAGTTTCTAAGCCTCTCCTCATTTTTTTGAATTCTTGTTTCTTCATATTTTTCTGTTTGGTCATTTTTTTCTTCCTTCTGGTCCAGTCCCTTGATTTGAGTCTCAGTTTCCTTTTCATCACTATTGGTTTCCTGTGCATTGCCATTCATTTCACTCAGTGTAGCCTTCATTTGTTCCTCTAATTTGTGACCAAAATCAACCAGTTCTGTGAGCATCCTGATCACCAGTGTGTTGAACTGTGCATCTGATAGGTTGGCAGTTTCTTGGTCGCTTAGAGTTATCGGCTCCGGGGCTTTGAGTTCTTCTTGAGTCATATTTTGGTCTGTTCGAGCCCGTTACGTATGAGGAGGGGAGCCCTAGGTGTTCACCAGGGCGGGGCAACCCAGGTCCCTGGGTTGTGACACTGTATGTGGGGGTGGGGTCAAAGGGGGCAATAGTGGTCCCCTCTGCTGCCTCCCGCCTCTCGGGCCTGCGCGGTCTGTCTCACTGCTCACTCCTTCGCTGGTTTATCTGTGTGACTGAATGGTTCGTTGTTGTCTGACTTCCGTATAGTTCAATTTTCTGTGGTTTGGCTGCGTTTTTGTTGTTAAAACTTTGTTATTTTTAAACTTGGTTGTGGTTGTGCAAGAAGGCACAATGTTTCCACCTACGCCTCCATCTTGGCAGAAGTCCTTATTTTTAAAATATATTTTTAGAAAGAGGGGAAGGAAGGGAGAAAGAGAGGGAGAGAAACATCAGTGTTTGGTTGCCTCTCATGCACCCCACCTTGGGGAACCTGGCCTGTAACCGAGGCATGGCCCTCACTGGGAACTGAACCAGTGAGCCTCTGGTTTGCAGGCTGGCACTCAGTCCTCTGAGCCACACCAGGCAGGGCCGACTCATTTTTAAATTAACCGACTAACTCCAAAGCCAGTTGTAGATATCAATGCTCTCACCCTTATATCCTTCAGTCTGTGTACCGTTAACTGCCACTGTTTTTCGTTTTGTTTGTTTCTTTTTTGGGAGGGATAAAACATAGTGAAATGCATGAATATATGTTTCATTTATCTTTTTTCTATTTGAAATGCATGAATATTTACCTGGCAGGAGAGCTACCACGATCCTGAAATTCGTGAGTCCTTTTTTAAATGTTTGTTCATTGATTTTTAGGGAGAGAGAGAATCATCAGTTTGTTGTTGCACTTATTTATGCATTCATTGCCTTGACTTGGGCTCCAACCTGAAACCTTCACATATGGGGACGTGCTCTAACCAACGGAGCCACCTGGCCAGGGTGAACTGCATGAATCTTAAATAGACGCGGCTGTTAACCCAAATCACCAGCAGGATATGGAACATTGGCGTCACCCAGGAAAGCTCCCTCGTGCCCCCTTCCAGTCAGTCTCCCCACTATTCTGATTCTTTGCACCATGGATTACCTTCTTCTGGAACTTCATAAAAACAAAACCATTCAATAGGTGGTCTTTCGTATCTGGCCTCTCATGCACATGTTTTCAAGGTCCATTTGGTGGTGCGTTGCATGAGTTCATCCCCTCCCACTGCTACGGATTCTCCCACATTGTTGTGAACAGACCGCAGTTTGCTTATCCGTCCTCCAGTAGTGGACACTGGGGCTCTGCCTGGTTTTTGTTGGTGAGAGATAGAACTGCTGTGAAGGTTCCTGTACAGACTCTTTGTGGAGATACATTTTTATTTCTCTTGGGTGAATACCTAGGAACTGAATTGCTGAGTCATAGCAATTGTCATAAAGAAATATATTTAGCCTTTTAAAGAAACTGCCAGACTTCCTTAAAGCAACCATACATTTTTTACTCCCACCGCCAACGATGCAATTCTGTTTGCTCCACATCCTTGCCAACATTTGTCGCCAATCTCCTCAGTTTAAGCCAGTCCAGTAGGTGGGCAGTGATATCTAATTGCACTTTTCATTTGAATTTTTCTCAAAATGGTGTCGAGTATTTTTTTCATGTGCATATTTCATACCATCAATTGTAAGGTGTATTCTGATTTCAGGTGTTAAATTGTGGAAAACATGTGCCTCTTAAAATAAGTGAATTATAGCAATCTCCAAGATCCTTTGTGCCTCTTAATGGTCCACCTTTCCTCACACTGGCAGTCCTGGGATTTACTGGCCTGCGATCTGTCTCTACTTTGCCTTTTCTTTTCTAAAAAAATTATTTTATTTATTTATTTTTAGAGAGAAGGGACGGGAAGGAGAAAGAGTGGGAGAGAAACCTCAGTGTGTGGTTGCCTCTCATGTGCCCTGTACTGGGGACCTGGCCTGCAACCCAGGCATGTGCCCTGACTGGGAATCGAACCAGCCACCCTTTGTTTCACAGACCTGTACTCAATCCACTGACCTACACCAGCCAGGGCTCCACTTTTCCTTTTCTCAACATTTTTCTATAAGTGGAAAGTACAATGTAGGAGGCTGAATAATTACCCACAAAGGTGTTCACTTTCTAATCCCTTGAGCCTGTAAATCTGTGTTACCTTACATGAAGGAAACAGGATTTTGCCTGTGTGATTAAGGACCTCGAGATAGGGAGATTATCCTGGATTAGCCCAGAAGGACGGGTGTCCAGGGTCCTTTCAAGAGCAACCAGAAGGATGACAGTCAGAGAAGGCCTTGTGATCTGTGTGATGACAAAATCACAGAGAGATTGGGGGCTACAGATACAGGGAGGTCTGATCAGATCACTGGGGAGGAGCTTGCAGAGGCAACGGTGAGTAGCCCGGGACCAGGTCGGCTGAGAAACTGACCGCCTCCAGAGCACATGAAATAATGGGCGAGAAGATTGGAAGTAAAAGAAGGGCTCTCTGTGGTTCGGGCTCTTTTCTCCTCCGGGATGGCTGGGGGAGCTGCCTGCATTTCTCAACAGGGTAATTTGGTTGGATTTTGGATGGTAAGAACTCTGAGCACAGCCTGCGGTCGGGCTGTCCTGGCAGGAGGTGGCAGGTTAGTTCTCTGGGTGTTGTAGAGGGGACAGGCTCTGAGGCAGAGGCCAGCCGTTCTTCCAAAATTGGGTAGCTTTTGTATCTTATGTCGTTTTAGTGTGTAAACTAGCCCTATAGAAATAAAATAATTGAAACGAATGGGGAATGATAGGAGAATTCCAGTGTTAAAAAGTTAAGCCTCAGTAAATGGGTTTAAGTGATTAAAGCTGTGACTAAAGAAAGAGTTTAGCCTGAATTGATAGGCTTAAGTGGCCAATGCCGGGGAAAGTTGTTATTCCAAAATTGTGAAGCTTTTTTCTTTTAAGATATTATTTATTTATCTTTAGAGGGGAAGGGAAGGAGAGAGGGAGAGAAATACTGATGTGTGGTTGCCTCTCTCGAGTCCCCTGCTGGGAACTGGCCCCTAATCCAGGCATGCGCCCTAACTTAGATTCCTGACTGGGAATAGAACCACGGTTGTTTGGTTCGCAGGTGGGCGCTCAACCCACTGAGCTACACCAGGAAGGGGAAATTGTGAAACTTCTGAGTAAAGGCCCCTTTCCTTTATCACCAAACCTCTGCCTCTGGAATTTTACCTAGAGGAAGACGGCAGGCAGCAGGACCCCGACTGCTGTTCGGTAGCTACCACTCTGCTGGCTTTGAAGATGGAGGCAGGGACTCTGAGCCAAGGAACTCAGTCCCCTCCAGAGCTGGACTCCACAAAGAAACAGTGCGCCCCCTGGAGTCCGCGGAGGAAACAGCGGTTCTAACGCCTTGACCGTAGCCACCTAAGACTCACTCCTGGTCTCTGATTGGGAGGAGTGTAGGAAAATAAACGTGTGTTGTCTTCAACCACTGAGTTTGTGGTGATTTCTTACAGTTCCAGTAGAAAAGAAATACATACAATGTGTGGTCCTTTTCCGCCTGGTGTATGCGTGTTGTTGCCCCTATCGACAGTTCATTCCTGTTTATGAATAGTATTCCGTTGTCTGGGTCGCCAACACTTTCTTGATCTATTCACCAATGGAAGAACGTTTGGAGTGTTTCCAGTTTTTGCTTCTTATGCCTGAAGCTGCTCTGTACATTTGTATACAAGCCTTCGTGTGGACACAAGTTTCTCTTGGGTAAATAACTTAAGAGTGGAAGCGTAGGCTCATGTTTAAGTTTTTAAAAACTGGTAGACTGTTTCCGAGAGAGGAAATGCACCAGTTTACACTGCCGCCGGCCCTGATGAGGTTTCTGCTCATGCTCAGCAGAACTCGGTCTTGTCCTTCCGTCACTGTGCTCTTTGTCTCCAAGGGGGTGTCTGGTGGCATCTCCCACGGGTTAGTTTAGTGTTTCCCTGATGGTCACTGCTGTGGGACATCTTTCATGTGCTCATACGCCATTCGCGGTATCTTTGCTGAAATATTTATTTAAATCTTTTGCTTATTTTAATTGAGTTGTCATTTTATCACAGAGTTGTAAGGTTTTTAAAAAATGAGCATGCATGGTTGCAAGAGAAGCAACCACACATGGATGTTTCTCCCCCTTTCTTTCTTCCTTCTTCCTGTCTCTAAAAATAAATAAAATCTTTTTAAAAAATCTGTCGATCATATTTGTGAGGGTTTTTCTCTGTTGTGTTCCAGTGACTTACCTGGCTTCCATAGAACTGACTTTATGACAGTTCTATGCTGTCTGGATTATCTTAGACGTATAATAAATTTTGAAATCAAGTATAAGTTCCCCAACTTTTTCTTTTTCGAAATTGTTTAGGGTACCTTGATCCTTTGCATTTCTAGATAAATTTTTTTAAAAGATTTACTTATTTTTAGAGAGAGAGGGTACGGGAGAGAAACATCAATATGTGGCTACCTCTTGAGCGCCCCCGACTGGAGACCTGGCCCACAACCCAGGCTTGTGCCCTGACTGGGAATTGAACCAGAGACCCTTTGGTTCCCAGGGCAGTGCTCAATCCACTGAGCCACACCAGCCAGGGCTCTATATAAATTTTGTATCAGCTTGTTAGTTTCTACCAAAGCAAGGTGACCCGCTGAAATTTTACCAGATATTGCGTTGAATGTATTGGTAAGTTTGGGGAGAATTGCGATCTTAACAATGCTACCTTCTTATTTATAAACATGGCATGTCTCTATTTTTTCAGGTTTCTAATTTTTCTCAGCAACATTTTGTCGTTTTCATTGTGTGGGAATTGCAAGACCATCCCCAGGTCTTCTAGGAGGGGTCACGGGGACTAGGCAAATAGACACTCCCATAGCCATGATTTATTACAATAAAAGGCTACAAAACAGAATCAACAAAAGGAAAAGGCTCCAGGGGCAGAGTTTGGGGGAGACCAGGCGCCCGATCCCAGGGTCCTCTCACTCAGTGGAGTCACACAGGAGGTGCTCAATTGTCCTGGCAAGTTGGGACAAGGTTGTGAAATGTCGCCAAGCAGGAGCTCATGTTTCTTTCCCGAAATGCTATAACAGATGGATTCCTATGAGGTGGCTTAAAACAACAGACACTCATTCTCACACAGTTCCAGAGGCCAGAATCCGAAATCCGGAAGTCAGCAGGTCAGCTCCTTCCCGAGGCTCTGAGAGAGACTCCGCTCCAGGCCCCTCTGCTGACCCGTAGTTGCGCTGACCACCCTTGGAAGTTCAGTGCTGGTCACTGCATCACTCCAGTCTCTTCATCTGTCCCCACATCCCTCCTCTGTGTCTTCTCTCCTTTTCTTGGGACACTCGTCATTGGACCTGACCCAGGATGTTCTATCTCAAGATTTTTAATTTAATACATCTGCAAAGACCCTTTTGTCCAAAACTTTTTAAAAAAAGATTTTATTTATTTTTTTAGAGAGAGGAGAAAGGAAGGAGAAAGAGAGGGAGAGAAACATCAGTGTGTGGCTGCCTCTCATGTGTCCCCCATTCGGGATCTGGCCTGCAACCCAGGCGTGTGCCCCAACCAGGAATTGAACGAGCGATCCTTTAGTTTTCAGCCCGTGCTCAATCCACTGAGCCACACCAGCCAGGCCCCAAACTTATTTTTATTGTGTTTTTTCCATCACCATTTAGTCCTCTTATACCCCCTCCCCTCAATTACCACAGTGTTGTTCATGTTCATGACTCCTTTTTCCTCTTTGCCCCCTCCCTCCACCCCCTGCCCCTCCCCTCTGCATTCATCTGCTCCCCACCTGTGAGTCCGTCTCTGTTTTGCTTGTTAGATCAGTTTGTTCATTAGATTCCACATATGAGCGAGATTATCTGGTGTTTGTCTTTCTCTGACTGGCTTATTTCACTCAGCACAAGATTCTCCAGGTCCATCTGCACCATTACATAGGGTAAATTTTTCTTCTTTTTTTTTTTGCAGCCGAGTAGTATTCCATTATGTAAATGTCCCGCAGTTGTTTCACCCACTCACCTACTGATGGGCCCTGGGCTGCTCCCATAGCTCAGCAGTTGTAAATAACGCTGCAGTGAACACAGGGCGCTTGTGTTCTTCTGAAGTAGGGTTGTGGGTCCCTTTGGATGTATTCCCAGAAGTGGGATCACTGGGGGAAAAGGCAGGTCCGTCTTTAATTCTTTGAGGAAGCTCCACACTGCTGTCCACAGTGGCCGCCCCAGTCTGCATCCCTTCCCACTCACAGTGCACGAGGGTTCGCCTTTCTCCACATCCTCACCGCACTTGTTTGCTGATTTACTGATGATGGCCGTTCTGAGCGGTGTGAGGTGACGTCTCATTGTGGTTTTAATTAGCATCTCTCTGATGATTAGTGACATTGAGCATCTTTTCGCATGTTTATTGGCCATCTGTATGTCCTCTTTGGAGAAGTGTCTGTTCAGGTCTTTTGCCCACTTTCTAATAAGGGTGTTTGTCTGTTTTGGTGTGGAGTTTTATAAGTTCTTTATAAATTTTTGATATTAACTCCTTATCAGATCTATTCACAAATATGTTCTCCCATTCTGTGGGTTGTCTTTGTATTTTGTTGTTGTCCTTTGCTGTGCAAAAACTTCTTGGTTTGATGTAGTTCCATTTGTTTATTTTTTCGTTTCTCTCATCCAGGGGAGACACACCTGGTAAAATGTTGCCACGAGCTGTGTCTGAGATTTTGCTGTCTAAGTTTTCATCTAGTGTTTTGATGGTTTCTAGTCTAATATGTAAATCTTTAATCCACTTTGAATTCATTCTTGTATGTGGTGTAAGAAAGTGGTTTAATTTCAATTTTTTCCTGAACCAATCTGTCCAGTTTTCCCAGTACCATTTACTGAATGAACTGTCTTTAGCCCACTGATGTGCTTGCTTCTTCTGTCTAGCATTCACTTACTATAAAGGCCTGGGCTTCCTTCTGGGCTCTCTGTTCTGTCCCATCGATCAGTGTGCCTATTTCTATGCCAGTCCCAGGCTGTTGTGAGTACTATGGCCTGTGCTACAGTTTCATATCAGGAAGGTCACGTGCACAGGTTTTGAGTAGATTTTGCCACCATTCAACCCACTAGAGCACTGGTCAGACAGGTTGTCTGCCTGGTGCCTGCCAAATTTCCAGACACCAGAAAGAAAGCAGATGTTGAGCGTAAGTCATATTGTTTGTACAAACAGTGCACATCATGAACAACTCTGGTCACTTCTGGGACTGGTGGCAACCGTCCTGAAGTCAGGCTCCGAGATGTTAGCCGAGGGCTAACCTGGTAGGTGAGTTTTTTCAGGCTAAACCATAACCCTGTTGTATCAACTCTTTTTTTGTTCACACTCCTTTGTTGTATTTATTCCTAAGTCTTTTACTCATTTTGATGCAATTGTGTACGGAACTTTTTCCTTTTTCTTTTTTTAGATTTTATTTATTTTTAGGGCAGGGAAGCGAGGAAGAGAGGGAGAGAAACATCACTGTGTGGTTGCCTCTCACATGCACCCCCAACCCCACCACTGGGGACCTGGCCTGCAAGCCAGGTATGTGCCCTGACTGGAAATCCAACCAGCAAGCCTTTGGTTCACAGGCTGCCAGGGCCAGAATTTTTTTTCTTAATTTCATTTTCAGATTGTTTGTTGCTCTTATATAGAAATATAACTGTTGTTTGTGTATTAATACTGTATCTTGTGAACTTAAAAAAAAGGTTTTTATTCATTTATCTTTAGAGGGGTAGGGAAGGAGAGAGGGAGAGAAATATCAGTGTATGGTTGCCTCTCTTACGTGTCCCTCGCTGGGAATTGGCCTGCAACCCAGGCATGTGCCCTGACAGGGAATCAACCGCAATCCCTTAGTTCGCAGGCCCGCATTCAATCCACTGAGCTACACCAGCTAGGGATTTGTGACCTTATTAAACTAGCTTATTGTTTTTAGTATATTTGTTTGGTACATTTCTAAGGATTTTCTAAATAGATAATTATGTCATTTGTGAATAAAGACAAATTTACTTCTACCTTTCTAATCTGTGTGACTTTGTTTTGTTACAATTATTGCACAGGCTAGAACTTTCAGTACAATGTATCATCATTTCAAATCTTTCTTCTGTTTGTTTCTTCCTCTCTTTCTTCTCTTCCTGGTGTTCCCATTGTGTTTGTCATACCATTTGCAGTGAATATCCCCTGTCCTTGGATATTCTCTCTGTGGTTTTTAAAAAAAAATTGTTTTTTTTTTGTTTTTTTTTTGTTTTTGAAGATTCTGTTGACAGATCCTCTAGCTCAGGGTTTTTTTCCTCAGCTGTCTCCAGTCTGCTGATGAGCTCACCAGAGGCATTCTCCATTTCTGCTGTAGTGTTTCCTACCTGCAGCTTTTCTTCTTGCTTCTTTCTTAGGATTTCCATCTCTGCTCATATCACTCACGCGTTCCTGCATGCTGTCTACTCTGTCCATTAGAGTCCTTAGCATGTTAATCA